GCCTTCCAGTATACACCAGATTCGAACGACACCATATGCCATTTGGTTGGTGCAAGATACTTGCATAACTTTAAAAAAAATTAGTCTTTAACTACAAACTTTAATTTACAATCCGAACTTGCAGAGATAAAGTTAAATTAGAAACAACCACAGCTCTCTACGTAAATAAGTAACAGCTGCTGTGATGATGATGTTAATTGGCTTCTTTTCATTATGGTTTGGGCGCAGTCTATTGATTAACATATCGGACCGTGAAACCGAGCGTCCATGATTCGCGTCCCGTTGCCGAAGAAATTACGTTCCGAACTTTGGGGCTGGGAGTGCGTTATAAGAGCGACAGTCAAGTCCTACTATTCGATAAAGCAGCCCAATATTTCACAGTGGGTACTGTTGACTAGCTGCCTTTCCTCTAGTTTATTATTTCAAAATTAGGATTAGAGACGGTTAGTGCCCAAATAATAACCAAACCTTTGCAATAGTCGTCAATGTTACAACAATGTTACCGTTTATTTTCTAATACACAAGTACAAACTGCCATTTCGAAAAACATATTCACATCCTAAAAATCTTTTATACGATCTTACGCTTCCGACATTTTTCAACTTCTATACAGATGACGAACGACTGGACCACGTCGCTAATTATAGCGTTTCCCTTATTTTACTTGCACTAATTAAAAACTACCAGAAAGCGCTTTTAACTTAGGTTTAAGCTTGCTTTAAGACTAGATCTTTTCAAACGAATACGTGAAATACACCGAAGTTGACAAAATGCTCTGACAACTTATCACGTTTAAGATTTACAAATCTTCAGAGACCGAGTGTGAAAATGAACGTAGAACTTAAACAGTATGTTAACTGGTGTTTTCAAAATTTAAGGAATTTCTATTGCAAATGGGAAGAATGCATTTTCTATAATCCATCTTATTTTAACTTAAATGATTATGAGCAGACTTTTTTTACCAAAAAATAAATACTGAATTTTTTCATGGTTTCTATATTGTTTTTGTTGTTTGAGAAAGAAAGTTACCAGGAACACAAGGTATAAAAATGTAAGGAAACATATTACATGGTTACTTTATGAATCAAATATAGAACTAAAAGACCAAAAATTACAGCCTAAATTATCTCTAGTATCCCCTCTTCGCCATTCCCATCTCTACTGTATTTTTGCAGGTTACAATTAGCAGTTGTGGTCAGATTAAGCCTTTTGTGTACAATAGCATACATGTCTTTCTACGTCGCTGGAACATGATAAAATCAAGTTATCAAAATACAATGAAAAGCAAAACGAAAATATTACAGCTTCCTAGAATAAAAACATATATAGGCCAAGGTAGATTTGTTCATTTTAAGGCCAACTCAAAACGTTCAATTATAAATTACACGTACTATTGTGGTTTTGTTAGTGAATAATTTATTTTCCAAAAACAAAAAAACACAACTAAAATTATCATGATTGTATGTTGTTAATTGAGCCACCTGACAAACACCTGCATGAGAATTCCCTGCCCTACCTGACTGACGTTGAATCAACTAAACACTACTTTTAAATATTAACATATACGTTAGTGGCAGCCACATGAGATTAAGTCCCATTCTATGGTTGACTAGGGCACACAAGATGTAACTAACCTGTCGTATTTACAAGTTACAGTATGTTTTTTTGCCTGTTAACGTTTGCACCATAATGGAGTATCATATACCGACAGTATTAAAAATCAATAAACCTACGATTACAAGAATCTTACAAGTTACATTCAAAGCACTGGGACAGATCCCAAGAAAGGCTATATTCTGTTATTTTCTACATTAAGTCATCTGTATTTCGTTTGGTGTTTCTCTACATCGTGGGGAAAATATACAAAAGCGCCGTTATTCTAACAGTCAATCTTGTATGGTATGTACCACGTCACGTACACACGCGCGTGCGTATATTATACGTATATATGAACATACGTTTTAATGGTACAACAATACGGTTTTCATTATTTCACATCTTCTGTTTGTATTTATATAGTGTTAATATACGGGATTTTTTATAAAGTGTCCTCGCATATTCGATTATCAAAAAGATCGTTATTATTCGTTATAGAACTGTCTATCAAGTCATCCCAGGGATGTATAGATAGACATGTTGAGTGCTGGACATCTTCGTTCAGCTCTCTATTACGTCATCCTAAGGGTGTATCTGTAACCATGTTGAATATTGGATAGCTTCGTACAGTTGTCTATCCTAAGGATGTATATGAAGCCATGTTGAGTGCTGGACAGTTTCGTTCAGCTCTCTATTACATCATCCTAAGAATGTATCAGTAGCCATGTTAAATACTGGACAGCTTCGTTCAATTGCCTGTCACGTTATCCTAAGGATGTATCTATAGTATTGTTGAATACTGGACAGGTTCGTTTGGTTGTCTGTCACGTCATCTTAGAATGTATCTGTGGCCATGCTTAATACTGGACAGCTTCGTTTGGTTGTCTGTCACGTCATCCTGAGAATGTATCTGTGGCCATGCTGAATACTGGACAGCTTCGTTCAGTTGTCTGTCACGTCATTCTAAGGATGTATCTGTAGCCATGTTCAATATTGGACAGTTTTGTTCAGCTGTCTGTCACGTTATTCTAATGATGTATTTGTAACGATGTTGAAAACCGGACAGCTTCGTTCAGCTGTCGATCACGTCTAAGGATGCAGGCTATTGGCGACATGAATGATGGCCGTATTAATTATATAGCGCCCTGTGGTGACAATTTCCGATAACTTCGGATTCGTGTGTCTCATTGGTAATATTGTTCTATGATGAATAGTGTCCATTTTATTTACGTTCAAACCTTGTATCTAGTAGATGTTAATTACAATAACTAATTCCTTGTATCTAGGAGATGTTATTTAAAATAATTAATTCCTTGTATCTAGTAGATGTTAATTAAAATAACTAATTCCTTGTACCTAGTAGATGTTATTTAAAATAACTAATTCCTTGTATCTAGTAGATGTTAATTAAAATAACTAATTCCTTGTATCTAGTAGATGTTATTTAAAATAACTAATTCCTTGTATCTAGTAGATGTTAATTAAAACAACCAATTCCTTGTATGTAGTAGATGTTATTTACAAAAACTAATTCCTTGTATCTAGTAGATGTTATTTACAAAAACTAATTCCTTGTATCTAGTAGATGTTATTTACAATAACTAATTCGATGCATGATATAATCAGAAATATTACAAAAAGATTCGGTACGGTATATTTATTTTCTTGTGCTGTCACCTAGCACGTTTTCCCTGAATTACAGTGTAACTTTTGCAATTCATAACCGTTCATTACACACCCTCGAAAGATTATTATAAAACTATAGACACGTAATTGATCAGGCTGCTCATTTTTCTTAAGACCACACAGACAAATCTTAAATAATAATTTTCCATCTCAAAAGATCATTGTCATTATTAAATTAACTCGTACTTTAGGGTTATGTTGGTTAAAATCCATTTAGTTATTGATCAGTATCTTCAGTAGACACCTTTTACCGTAAAAAAACAACAACAACAAAAAACACAAGATATTCTAAATCAAGATGCTTCACAGTTGTATTTCTGGTGCTTTCTCTTATAACATTCGACACAATCTAAAATGGAATGAATAAGTAAGCGTTTGAGTCGCATCTGGTCTTTACTTTGGTAAGAAGACAAAGAATTCGTCTAGAGTTTCTATTGCGTCTATTTACACACACTGTATAATATATTAAAAACCAATGATACACACACATGTTTCATACCAGAAAACAGCCTGGCTAAATATATGTTCAACTTGGTCCACGAATCCTGAAAAATCGATTGCACATGATGTACTTTAGCTCTGACTACACAGGATTACTTCATGTAGAGTACCGTGAGCACACGACACGACTACACGTGGCCAATCGAGCTGACACTGTTTTGTGTTTGTGTTTTGTTTTGAAGTTGCACATAGCTACACAATTGGCTATCTGCCCACCACGGGTATCGAAATCCGGTTTCTAGCGTTGTAAGTCCGCACACGTGCCGCTGTGCCACTGGGGGGGGGGGGCACTGTTATGTGTGCAGTGCGGAAATTTATGAACAGTATTTGTTTAATCACCAATGGTCATAAGATATTCTGTTCCTTTTCTGCTTCGCTTTAACTGGCACTTTGATTCCTGTTCATTAAATGTGTTTCGAAGGCATCTCAACGTTTTAATTAGTTATATTACATAATTTTAATTTCTACGTGTCCTGCATTATTTTGTGTGTAAATAATCATTTCTGTTAAGCAGTTATATGATCTCTGTGTCCTTTTTGAATGTACTGAAATACTACAATTTAATAGCAAAAAAAATATTAAGTGTGCTTTACTGTCACTTGATTTTTTTTTTAAAAAACTTGCGTTGTTATTGTTGTTTCACGCATTTGTGATTACAACGCTACAGCCAGTATCATAATTTCACCTCAACTGTACAAAAAGCTGACATTGATAGGTCCTAAACACATCGTAAACCGGGGCTCCCCGAGTCAGTGAGACAAGCCGACGTGGCCTCCGAGCGGCCGGGACTAACAGGTGGGTAATCACCACAACTAGGCCTGGGGCCGTAGGCGTCCTATACCCCGACCTGAGCTGCGGGTTGCCTGCTCACTCTCTAAATCTGCCAGCTCATTGTTTGAATGTTTAACTGTTTCCTCTCAGACATAAGACCACTACACCCTTGGTGCTATTTTGAGAGAGTTCATAATACCACACGTATATTGGGAGTTTTTCTGTTCTTTGTAGCCATCACGTTTATAGCCCAGTTTCAGGTTGAATATCAGTCTTTTGCGTCTCATGTGCTCAGCAGGGCGACGGACTACTCACAGAACACCGCTAACCCTATCACAGATTATGATGTTTGGAATAGCTGTGTCGAATATCAATACCAGTTAAGCCTTTTTCGTATAAAAATACTTATAACCTTTTCCAAAACAAATTATAAGAATCCCTCTTACCTGTCATCGTAGGCGAAGTCGGCAGCCAACGTGTTCCAATGTAGTAACCAGGCAACAGCAGACACAACAGTTACCGCACAGTGTTCCATCTTTCCCAGTTTGTGGCACGCTAACGTCTGGGACGACGGCTCGCGTTCGCGCCGCAAGTGCGCACGCGCACTCTTGCCGGGCATGCAAATTGTGGTCCTGAGGCGGTCGTGAACTAAACGTCCAATGAAACTGATGACTGGCCGGTGTGGTTCCCTGCAAGTGACCGACAGATTACTGATGAATATATATTCAAATGAATTGTCATAAGAACTATAAATAAATGTATAGATATACTTAGTCAATCGAGACAGTTTAATCCTGCAGAAAATAAAAAGCCACGAGACTGACTACCAGACACAAGGTATCGATCTCTTCTGTCTAAGACATGTAAGTCAAGAAAACGTTACACATGGACGAAATTAAAGCGAGGAACTTTATAAAAAATGTGTATACGCTGTATGTTTGATACTAAATACACGTTACATAGCTCAAAACACAGGTAAATAATTACACAACAAACATAATTTTATACAAACTGCAGTTTGTCTAACGCTAAAAATATAAACGATGAAAGGCTTTTGATCCCAAATAAGCTTATGAAGATTCTATTTTAAAATAATCCAATCTAATGCTGTTCTATTTAAATGTAATACTTATGGCTTAATCCATTTTATAGTCAGTCTCATCAAACTTTATTATTAATAAAGTTTAAATAATTCTTTATAATTTTGTTTGAATTACAATCATCCCTATGGAGATAGTTTACATTGGCGGTCAAGTATACTGATGTAGGACTAACGTAAAATCTCTTAAGTTTTCCAAACTTTGCGAAATCATTGTTATTGGAATTATGGCCGAAAGCATCGTTAACAGTGAGAGTATCTAACTGATTCAATTGCAATATAAACGTTTAAAGGTGTCAGTTTTCTAGTGTTTTGATTTATAGCACAATTATTTCTAATCAGGTTGTTATACATTTGTCTTCATTAATATGCAAGTTAATTTTAAATTATCTTAATTCTAGTTCATATAATTAGCTTACTTTTGATCAGAAGTTCTTAATATGTAACGGCTGTTTGTAATTAAGCACAAAGCTACACAATAGGCTATCTGTGCTCTGCCCACCACGGGTATCGAAACCCAGATTCTAGCGTTGTAAGTCCGCAAACATACCGCCGTGCCACTGGGGGGCAATATGTAACGAAAGATTTAAGAAATATATATATATAACATAAATCGTTTAGAAAGAGTAAATTCATACCAATACTTAAACTCGTCAAGTAAAATCAAATAATTCATGATTGTTTGTTTGTTTGAATTTTGCGCAAACCTACACGAAGGCTACCTGCGCTGACTGTCCCAAATTTAGCAGTGAAAGACTAGAGGGAACGCAGCTAATCAACACCAAATATTCGTGTTGTAGTTTTTTTTTATGTATTGCGTTATGACGTTTTGTGAAAAATATGTACGCGATGGAGAAAAATGGTTTTAAAATTTCAATAAAGTTTTTAAAATAAATTTGAAAAAATCAGTAATAGGATATTTACTCGTCTCGTCAAGGATACCATGAAAATTATTATAATAAAACTACCATCCTCCATTTACAAATTGCTAAGTTGTTCAAGTTAGTTTTAAAACAAAGGTGTGTTTAAGTACATTATCTTGTTTCAAGTAATCTAAGCAGTAGTAAGTAAAGTAATAGTATTCAAACCTCGATATTTACACCTCGCCTTCTTTCTATCTATCTACCCCACGAAAAGTTGTTGAGATTTTATATATCAACAAAGAATTATTAAGATAACACATTAAACAATAACACAATTTACAAAGGCTTATCTATCTAATCCATCCACTGTAAACATCACAGCATCATCCCTTCCCCCCTTTATTTTAGACATTACCACCATCTAATCCACTCCGACATTAGCTTTACAGTTTGTGTTATCAAATGAACCGTTAACTCAATAGCTGGTACGGCTAATTAACACCATCTTAACATGCGTGTAGTTAACCACCATGTAGCGAAATTACAAAATTGCGCTTAGTTTACCATTAGTGTTATAAGCTTGTTTACATTTCAAACTTCTAACAATGTTACGCCCACAACGTAAAGTCTAAAGATCTTTCACAACTAATTTCTACTGTTGGTGTTTAATTTCCTGAAGGAAACTGCAATTAAAGAAACTATCTTTTGTTTTTAATTTATCTTCGTTTCCGCTAAAACGTGCTGTAGTTCGTTAATAAAACTTCGAGTGGATTGAATCTATATTTTTCATGTCTATAAATGTTCCAATTTACGTTTTCAATTTGTGAATTAATTTGAGAAATTCACAATAAAGAATAAATGACCAGCCACTGACCTTAGTGTAACAGCAATTTGGCTATTTGAGATGAAAAAAGGCGTCTTTTGATAACATTCTCTATAACTAACTATTTATGTATCTGGTACATCTGTCCCATTTTAAGGGCATACAACGATAAGATCAAGAGTTCGATTCCACGCGGTGGACATAGCGCACTAGTCAATTGTGTAACTTTGTGCTAAAACAACAAAAACAACAGTGTTATAGCTAAATTTCACCAAGACGTTTAGACAAAACGGTACTTCAGTTGATTACAATGTCACTTAATGTCCGAGTCAATGCCACTCAAATAATATTTATATTTTCAATAATGTCATTGGTTTATTAAACACCGTACTCTCTACCAGTTCCATATATCTCGGCCGTATCTCTTTAACCTCTAGAATAATCAATATATATATATATATTTCCGAGTTGCAAGTTGTTAACTTACACTTCCTACCTCGATCATTGAATTAGTTCCACTTAGGGGTACAGAAAGCACTACAGTGTGTGTGGGTGTGAGGATGTGGGTGAGTCTTTTTACCAAAAATATTTGGACGTTTTCTTCCACACAAATAATTTAAGAGTTTTACGTGCAAGTCAAGCGTTTTACAACAAAAACAACGGAAATCTAAACTGTTTAGACTATTGGAAATCTAAAGGTAGTGGACTTTTTAGACTATTGGAGTGGTCGTTCGATCCCATCGACACCATGGCTACGAATCGGTTCGAAACTGAAGGCATAAAGTTTGTGAACTAAATACAAAAATATACATCAAGATAATACTGTAACCACTCAATCAACACTTCGTTTTTCTATCATAAATATCAGTTTAGTCACTCATCATTTCATTTCTCTACAAACGTCAGTCAGCTTGGGCTATCATCATTCTTTACTTCAACACATAACAGACAATTGAAACAACACGTTACTTCGGCAGATCGTTCTTTTTCACAACCATTAGTTCTATCCAGTTCCATCCCACTTCCCTAATATCGTGGCCAACATTACCAAATACGACTTTCTCATAAAAAAAAACACATTAATCTCGACAATTACATTTCATTCCCTTAACAGCCAAACAACGCTGAAGTTTTCCCACAGAAAAAGAATTCTGACATTCATCATCTTTGTTTTTCAAAATATCAACCAATTCTGTCTGGTACCAGTTCACTTTCTAAAAGAACTACCAAGCTTGACATTCATTATTTATTTATACAAATAAATCATACCATTTCCATTTTTAAACAATTCTTAATATTAACCGAACGTTTGCTTCACTTATTAACATGCTTCATTTATTCAGCAACTACAACATTACAACTTTTAATAAAAATAACGTAAAAATTTAGTTCGTTAAAGATATATCTTTTAGCATATATTCCATTTCTTCGGTATACTAACAACTACATATACACTGTGACGTCAGTACTTCAGTTTATTTCTTGATTTTCTTTTAAAATTGATATACAGGATTGTGCAAAATCCGCGCACCTCAATGTTTTGTTTTTTCTAAGAATTGGCTTTACAGCTCTTCAAAATGTGCACTTCTGATATCACACACAGTTCCTTCCATATGAAGTAGTACGAAAAACAGTTAGTGAAATACAAATATAACTTAGAAAAAGCATAATAAAGTCGGGACTTGGGAATAACATATAGTATTAAATTAACATAGAACGATTTGTAAACACAGTGATATTTATTGCAGAAAGCATACTACCTTGGTATTGTCGAAACACGTAGTATATTTTATACATTAAGCATCATTGTTCTTACAAACCTTTGTTTCTTGATTTACTACTGAATTAGCACAAAGTGCTTCTCCATACAGATATAATATCATAGAGTGCTATGGCACTTTTTCTTTCCTAATCGAACCGGGCTAGCCAAATGGTTAGCGTGCCCGAACTATTACACCAAGTTGCCATAACAACACGCTCTGTACTTTGGAGTCGTCGGTGAACTGTAAAAGAGACAGTCAAAACCCACAATTCGTTCAGTTAAGATCATCCATTGGTTTGGTTTGTTTTGAATTTCGCGCAAAGCTACACGAGGGCTATCTGCGCTAGCCGTCCCTAATTTAGCAGTGTAACCCTAGAGGGAAGGCAGCTAGTCATCATCACCCACCGCCAACTCATGGGTTACTTTTTTACCAACGAATAGTGGGATTGACCGTCACTTTATAACGCCCCCACGGCTGAAAGGACGAGCATGTTTAGTGTGACGGGGATTCGAACCCGCGACCCTCAGATTGCGAGTCGAGCGCCCTAACCACCTGGCCATGCCGGGCCAAGATCATCCAAGAGCTGACGGTGGGTGCTGTTGACTAGCTGCCTTCCCTCTAGTTTATCAGTTCAAAATCAGGGACGGCTATGCGCAGATAGCTCTTTGTATAGTTTTGCACGAAAATTCCGAAATAAATTTGTCATAACCCGACGACCCAATCGTCTATCCACTGAACTAATTACATTACGAGAAAAATAATTTAATTATCCCCAAGCAAGATTAACAGCAACTATTATCCTATTTTCTCACGTACATTTCAAGCAATTTATGATCTATAAAGACACCAACTTGTATCAACAATCGCTAAGTTTGATATATCTTCTATCATACTGTACTCAACATTATTTATACGTGTGTGTAGGCATAAAATCATTGAACATCATAATGACGTTGCTATACATTATCGCGAATGAAACAAATGCTGTGATAAACTTGAAAAGATTACAGAATTGTTAAAATCGCTAGAACAAAGAACTGGTCAAACAATTCATCATTTAGCCGAAACGCTGACCATTTAATTCCCCCTTTTCATTTACAGTAATTTCAACCATTTATTTGTCCTTTAAAATGATGTACTT